CTGCCGCCGGCCTCAGCCTGCGCCTTGCTCCCCGTTAGGTCCTGCATCCTCAGCGAGGTCTCCACCCGCTCGCGCTCCAAGCTCCCCGCGGGGAAGAACGTGCTGCTGCTGGGTGAGTGTCCCCCGCCTCGCCCCGCCCCGCCCGGCCTCCCCCAACGGGGTCCCTGTCGCCGGACTGCCACCCGCCGGCTCTTTGTGCGGACAGCCGGCCCCGCCCCGCCGACCTGCAGCCGACAGCTGGGGTCCGATGGGGAAGCGGGGACCCCTGCCTGGGGACCTGTGGGGACCCGCCCTCCCTCAGGGCACTCCTCCCCCCGGGGTGCGGGGGTGGCCCTGTCAGTCTCCTCTGGGAAGGACAGAGGGCCATAGCCCATCTGAGCGTCTCTGTGGTCTGGGGTTCACCTCGAAATTGAGGCTAGTTTTTCTTTGATAACAAAAACGGGTAGCAGGAGGCTCTTGGTAAGAGCTCCAGTGCAAATGGCTTGCCATTAATATTTAATAGCCGACTCTGTATAATTGACAGAGAAGTTAGAACGGAGACCTCGCAGTCTGCTAAATGGTCTTTGATTCAGCGTTGTCAGGCACAATGCGCTTGTGTGGCAGCCGCGTTTTCACCTGTCACTTACAATTCTGAAACCTGGACAAGGCAGGACACCTCTCCAGCTCAGTCCCATCAGTCCCAGATGGATAAAAGAAACAATGGTCTGATGTGTCCATTCTCCCGATTGTTCTGATTACCTTCGATTCTCTGGAAGTTGTGTGGTTTGTTTCCTTACCGACCCTGGCAGTGAGGGTCGAGGACTGAGAATAATTTGCAGGTTCACATTTTTGTAGGGTCAGCTCCTGAGTGGTTTACAGGAGAGATTTCTTCCGTATTCTTTAAATGCAAGACATTAACGTTTGGTTTATAAAATGATGGTTACATTTTAAAAAAAGAATTACTTATTTATTCATTCATTTCATTTTAATGTGATCAGAGAGAGAGAGAGAGAGAGAGAGAAAGTTAGAAAGCAAGCCACCAGGTCCAGGATGATCCGTGGTCGGCCATGGGGGAGTGTCCAGCACCTCACATCACCCCGCCTCCCCTGGCCCCAATATGATGGTTAAATTTTAAAACTTAAGCATTGAAAGGGACCAGCAGTTAGTGTAATGGCTATGTCGCTGGACTCCCAAGTAGTCGGACCCGGTGGCTTCAAACTCATTCCAGGCGCGTGTGCATGCGTGCCCAAGATCCTGAGAAGAGAACGGAGGAGAAGGGATTGCGGCATGGCCATCCCCCCTGGGGGGTGATTTCTCGCTTTCTGTCTCTCTTGTCTCTCTCTCTGTCTGTCTGGTGAGTGGCACGCACCCAAAAACAAAAAAAAAACAAAAAACAAAAACAAAGAAAAAAGAAAAAACCTCTCAAAAAAAAAAAAAACTTAAGCATTGATGTCCTATCACAAAATGTTAGTGGTATATATCTTTTTTTTTTTTTTTAGAAGTTTTTGCTATAGGGCGCGTGTGCTCGCCAGACAGAGCGAGACAAAAAAGAGAAATCACCCCCCAGGAGGGATGTTCACGCCGCAATCCCTTCTCCTCCATTCTCCTCTTGGGATCTTGGGCACGCACGCACACGTGCCCGGCGTGAGTTTTAAGCCACCACGTCTGGGACGCGAACTGCGGTCGACCACGTGGGAGTCCAGCGACGGTAGCCTTTACGGTAACTGCTGGTCCCAGTTGTATGTATCTAAAAATAGGAAAGGAAACAAGTGGGCTGTTATTTGACAGGCAGATAGTCTAGTAGGAAGGTTTTCGTAGATAGAAATGACCGATTTTTCATGAACTACCAGTTTAGGATATATGATTCTTGATTATTTGTTGCGTTTTGTTTTTACCAATATTTTAATGCATGTGACAGCCCCTTCTGCATATATGCATTGGATTGCAGCACAGTCATATCCAATCCTTCTGTCATCTTGTTTATAATCCTCAGTTTCTTCGTCTTTAAAATGGACAGTATAGAAATAAAAATGCCGGTCTCCCAGGGTTGCGGGGAGGACGGACCCACGTGATGTTTGGAGTGATCACAGCACAGTGACTTCCTGATGGATTTCTCTTCACCCGAAAATACTTGATCAGAATTCCTTTTTTAAAAAAAACTAGGGACCAGGCAGTGGCACATCAATGAACTGTAAGGCAGGCCCCCAGGGGAGGGTTGCTGGTTGGCCTGCGGAAACTTCCCTGAGTTCTCGCTGGGCAGCCGGGGCACTCGTGCCCATCGCCCATCATCTGGGCTGGCTGAGGCTGAGGCTGAGGGTGGGTCACAGCATAAGGACCCTGAGGAGGTGCTGTATCTGTTTCTGTCTCTTTGTCTCTCTCACACATAGAATAAATAGATTTTTTTAGAACTTGAAAAAATAGAATTTGTACCTACAGAAGTGATGTTGATAGGGCAGAGATTCCAAAGCAAAAAAGTTTCAGAAAATGTTCTTCATTTACTAATTGAACAAATTACTACTATTGTCCTGTTACTGAGCTCCAGTGGGCTCAGGATGGCAATGCGACCTGAATTCCCTCCCTCCTTCCTGTGCGTTAGATAGTACGTAGCTGGTGGTGGAGGAAAGGTGGTGGTTCCGCTCATTTCTCACTGCACCTGATTCCCGCCAGGCTGTGCCATGTTTTGCCTTTAACCCCTTTTCACGCTTGGTCAGTGCATGACACCAAGTGTCCTTGGGGTCCCAGATGCCTCCACTTTTCATGCTTAGAATAGATTACCTTTTCTTTTTCTATGAACTCGGTTCACAAAGCTCTATCAATGGTATCAAGTTCCATGAGCTTGAAATGTTATATTTTCCTTTCAGTACTAGTGAGATTTTCATCAGTCCTTTTCAGCCTTGGAAGAAGCTAATAACTGGTTTTCATTCTGATGACATAAATGGAGTTCCTTTTCTCAAATACCTGAAAGATTCCCAAGAGACATTTTACCATCGCCTCTCGCAGCAGTGGTCAGCCTGTGTTGGTGGAGAAAAATACCCAGATCAGGGGTGTGGAGTCCGGCTGTCTTTGTTAGGAGGACAAGGATGCGTGGCCCTCTTGTGTCTTTCATGAATGATGGTGGTCCCACATATTAAAAAAAACAAATCTGAAGCAATAATAAGGTTTTACATTTCCAGAGGCCTCGGATAGGCACAAAGACGCACACCTGTGCCCCACCCGCACTTGCACGCACACCCCCCCCACACACACACACACACACACACACGCATTGCACTTTTCCCTCAGCCTGCCTGTGACCTTCTTTCTCCAGAATGGGAGAAGAGTCAGGACTAGGAGTGTGTGTGTATCAGCTGTTCTCAAAACGCTTCCATCCAAATCTCATTTCATTCTCTCTGCCCTCCCCTACTGGGAAGTGGTTGTTAGCACCGATTTGTGGATAAGGTAGTGCATTTTAGAGACCTGTTAGGTGGGTTTTCCAAGGTCACACAGCTGTTGGAGCCCTGTGTTTTGTGACTCTGGCATGGCTTTCTAGCTTGGTAAAAGTTCCGGCAGGGGAGAGAATGCCAGCTACAAAACTCTCCCTCCTCACAGGCTATCTCTTCTTTCAGTGAAAGTTAGGTCATTATTTTAAAGGAAAATCTAAATTTTTTTAAAAGACCTTTTATATTTTTAAGAATTATTTAATTATTATTATTATTATTTTTAATTTGACCAGAGACACAGAGAGAGAGATAGTGAGAAAGCAAGCCACCAGGTTCAAGACTTGAACCATGGTCAGCCATGGGGGGGGAGTCCAGTGCCTCAAACGACACCACCTGCCAGCCCCGGAAAATCTAAGTATTGAGTACACTGGGGTGTAGCTTATTGAGGGGCAGGTACTGTGTTTAAGCAGTAATTTAATGTACGTAGGCCTGACTCCTAATGAATTCCACAAAGACATTAAGTGTTTTGCCACTTGTTCCTGAAAGATTTTGAGACTGGTTTAGTAAAGTTTGTTTTTAATATTAAAAGTAAGACTTCTTGGGGCCAACCATGTTTCAAATCCTGGACCTAGTGGCTTGCTTTCTCACTTTCTCTTTTTCTCTCTCTGATCAAACTAGAAAATAATAATAATAATAATAAGTCATTTAAAATTTAAATAAAATAATAAAAAAGAAAAATAGGACTTCTTGAGCCAGTAGGTGGCGTGGAGGTAAAGACAGTTGGATCCTCCATGGCTGAGTGCCGTTCAAATTGCGACATGGCCATCTACTTCTGGGAGTGACTTTTTTTTTTTTTAAGATTTACTGATTTATTTAATTCCATTTGTTAATATATTTTTAATTTGACCAGAGAGAGAGAAAAAGGAAAGTGAGAAAGCAAGTCACCAGGTCCGGTGTTTGAACCGTGGTCAGCCATGTGGGAATCCAGCACCCTTAACCACCATGTCACCTGCCGGCTCCAGGGCGTGATTTTTTCATTTTCTCTCAGTCTGTCTCTCTCTGGTGATCACATGTGACTCACAGCAAAACTAATGAAAAAAAAAAAGATAATTGTCCTTTTAAGAACAGTTTTTTCTCTTTACCTTTTATATTTAATCAACTTTTACTATAATTATATTTTAATAGCATAGTTTCTTTATATCTGAATTACTTTTCCATGTTACTGTAAGAAAATTCCCTATGGAAAATAACAATACTAATAGCTAACATAGAGCGCTTATATGTATGAGTCATATAAAAGTAGTTTAAATACCCTCGTTTTCCCCTTTAAAGATCAGGAAACAGGCACAGACCCAATAAGTAAATTACCCTGGGGATACACAGCCAGAGAAAGGCAAAGTCAGGGTTCAGAATTGTGCTTGCTGACCCCAGAGCCAGTGTTCACTTTTTGTTTTCGTTTTAGGGTTTTTGGTATGTCTGCCTGTTTGTTTCCCATGGGGGGGTGTGCACTTGCAGGAGAGAGAAGGAGAAAAAGAAAGTGAGAAATCACCGCGGGTGGGCTTCACCACATAGCAATCCCTTCTCTGTTCTCTTGGGATTTGGGACACCCACACACATGTGCCTGGGGTGTTTTTCCAGCCACCAAGTCCAGGACTCTACCGCAGTCAGTCATGTGAGATCCAGCTCCTTAACCATTATGCCACCTGCTGGCCCC